TTCTCAACCTCAGCAACTTTAAGATATGTGGAATTCAACTCCCAGAATTCCCCAGGCTGGGAAATGCTGGGAGTTAAAGTCCACACATCTTAAAGTTGCTAAGGTTGAGAAACACTGGTCTAAAGTGTAGACTGAATTGCAACATCTCTTCACTTTTACAGAGCAAGCTATGTATAATAGACCACAGACAGTTGACAAAATACGGCCCAGGGAAGGCAAGGATGCTGTAGATGCATATCAGCTTGTGCAACGTCTACAGTCTATGGTGAGATGGAAAACAGTGTCTTGTCTCTCCTTCATGATTCTTTGGCTTTGTTTTTTCTCATTTTCTTACATTGTGTTAGTTGATGAATAATATTTGTAGGAAAGCAAACCCGAATACATTTTCTCACACACTGCTGAGATTTCTTTGGCTTAATAAATTATATATTGGAGTTCTGTACATGATATTATTTTTGCAGAGGTCTTGTTAAATTGTATATTGCTTTGAGCTAGAATATTGAGCGGGTATATAAAAGTGGTTATTCATTTTCAAGTCAATGTATTTAAGTTTGGACGCTAAGGAAAAAGAATTGACTGTCTTTCGCAAAAACTGAAGCCACAAGCCACACCTGTAAAATATACTATACAGGTAGTGCTTGCTTACCGATGGTAATTGGGATCGGAATTTCCATTGCTAAGCGATGTGGTCATAAAGGGAAGGTTGCAAATGGCAGTCACATGACCATGGGATGCTGCAGCCATCATAGGTGTGAGCCAGTTGCCAAGTGCCCAGATTGCAATCACGTGACCTCAGGAGTGCTGGGATGGCCGTAATATCGAGGCCAAGTCATAAGTGCTACTCATTCAGCACTGCTATAACTTCAGTCGCTGAACAAGTGGTTGTTAATCAAGGCCTATCTGTAATTAAATTTTTAAAATGTAAAATAATAAAAATGAAAATGCTAACTGTGGAGTGCCCAATTTGCAACACTAGGTCATTAATATTTAAGAGGCAGGAGGTTACTATTATTATTATTAATTTAAATTTATTGGCTGCCCAACTCCAATGGACTCTGTTATGCATTTTAGATAATCCACAATTTTTTTAGTGCAGCATTCCTTGAGATGAACATACTAAATATGTTGGACTGCAGTTCCTATAATCCCAAACAATGTGCTATTCACCATGCTAGCTAAGGATGTTGGAATTTGTAGTCTGATGTTTATGGAGCATGCCAAGCCAAGAGGTGATGTATTAGTATGCAAAATGTTAAGTAGGTAATTTATTATGAACAAAAGTGAACTGTGAGTTATATAGATACCAGTTAAAACAAGTTAAGGAAAGCCTGCCAAGCATGGCTTCTGGAATTTTTTCCCACCCTTTAAGAGCAGCTCACTTTTTATTCATGTGACTGGGGGGGAGGGGTTAGATTGAAACAGTTAGCAATATTCTGCGTTGTTGCCCAGTTGCTTTTCTGGAATTGTTTTCTCTGCAGTCTCCTGCTGAATCTAGCCTTTTTTCAAAGCTGTTCTCTCTTTTGCTGGCTTCTCTCTTGTTATCACATTTGGTACAGATCTTAAGAATTAACTAGCTGACAGACAGACATCTAAGCCCATTTACATCATTTTTCCCCAGTGCTAGGCTGGAAAGAATAGCAAGATAGGGAAAGCACACCCAGCATGGCTTCCGGAATTCTTTTCAGCCCCTTCACCTTCAGTGGCTGTAGGAGGTATCTGTATTTTCTTCTGTGTTACACCTGTGCCTGCATATGAGAAGCACAAGGAAGTTGGAAAGAATAACAAATGGGTCATGTTGGGTCAGCTAAAGTTCATGTGTGATCCATATTCATCAGTTTGTAAGGAGAGTGACAATCCAGATCACTGTACTTTGCAATATTTTTGTGACTGCCCTTCACAATTTAAGAGAGCTTGCTGCCCTGATACAACTGAATAGACACGTGAGTGCATTTATGTTTGGTACAGCGTACAAGGAGACGACGAGTGAGAGACCCATGGGGAAACTGGTGTGATGCCAGAGATTTGGAAGGACAGACATTTGAGGTAATGACATTTTAACTCCTGAACTTACTTTAGTGTATCTAGGATACCCTTTCCTGAAACACACTTTGCCCAATTGTAGCCATGCCTCCAGGCATGTCTTTCTAATGTCCAGAGGTTGATGGAAGGGATATTGGATTTCCCTCTTGATAGTTGGAATATCACTCCAACTTTGGGGGTTGAGTGAGGGTGGTTTAGAATAATGCTTAGGTGCCATAGACTTGTAGCCCTTAAGAGTTCAGGAAAGAAATATTTTCATTTAATCATTAACATATTGAACATGGCATTTAACTGTTAAAATCAGATATGGGATTTCTGTGTTTTGAGATCATGTACCTAATAAATTAGAGAGGGTTGTGGCCATCTTATCATATTTGTAAGCTTGCTTTGAGCATCCTATTGTTACTGAGCTAGTTGAATGCTTTGATCTTATTGCATTATGACTATCCAGTTTTCTTAGCCAAGTATTTGATAGCACATGGAGAAACAGATCAAGGTGCCAGTGGGAGCCAATTTGATATTGTGGTTAAGATGCTCAGCTACAAACCAGAAGTTTTTGAGTTGTAGTCCTCCCTTAGGCATGGAAGCCAGCTGGATGACTTTGGACTGGTCACTCTCTTTTAGCCCAACCCACCTCACAGGTTTGTTGTTATGGGGAAAATAGGAAGTGGGAGTCTTAGCTATGTATGCTATCTTGAGTTGACCAAAAATAAAGGGAGGATAAAACTCAAATAAACTAGACATTCTTGGCAGAGTGGTATAATTTTATATTTAAAAATGTGCTTATGCAATCTATCAATGGGAAAGTGCAGAATGTTCATCCTGTTCACTGTGTAAAAAGAGAGAAATTGTTTTGATCTTCTATATAGGGAATTTGTGCATTCCTGACATTTAAGTGCACTTGGCATAATGCTGATTTAACCGTGGTAGTAGCTGTTAGCACTGGCCAGTGCCTTGCTAGCAGAACAACTAAATTAAGCATTCTTAAGCTCACCTAAGAATGTTTAACACTCAGTATTATGTGGTTGATGTACATGTTTTGTTTTTAGCATCTCTCTGCTGAGGAGCTAGCAAAGAGGAGAGAAGATGAGAAGTATAAACTACCAAAAGCATTTAAAGGACAAAGGCACACCAAAAGGTTTTTGTTTTTTTAATTTGTCTGTAAAATCTCTTTGGAAAAAATGATTTGTGAGATTTCGGGTTTGAAAGTTGCCTGTGAGAAGAACTTAAGCTTAGTATTAACTGAGTTAAATTCATAGTATGAAGTCCAAATTGCAATAGAAACACTGAAACGTGCCTATGGTACTTTTTTACCTTGTCACATTAAAGTACTTATTTGAACTAATCATGAATATTCAGTATATTAGAATTAAAACTAAAATTGGGAAGAAGTTATGCAACATTTAAATGTTTTCTCTCCAGTAATTCTGCAATTTCAGTGATTTTTTTTTCATTCTATAGTTCATTTGATCCCTTTCAGCTGATCCCTTGCTGTTCCTACACAGAAGAAAAACCAGTAAGTATGATGTAAGAAAAAAGAACATATTTTAGCTTACTTAAGCAAGTTTTCCTTATAATTTTTATCTTTTCAGGAGCCATTCAAAGTAACAGTAGCTGCAGAAGCACTTCTGATTATGGATTTGGTAAGGCCTATCTGTTCTATTGAAGTACCCTATAAAATTGATTCAAATTAATTAAAAGAAAGATTTAAGTCATGAATAAGTAAAATTGCAATCTTATTGGTGCATTATAAATGTACATTAATTAACTAATGATTGGTGTTGCTGAAACTGATTTTGCTATCATGGGTGAATAATATGTGAATTTTAGTACAGGTTTATACTGGAAGTCTATTGTACAGGTTTATAGTGGAAATCACCTATTTTTTTGTTTTGTTTTTATTGCAGTTATCTAAAAAAATAGTAACATTAAGATGTGTCTGAGAGAATATCTGAATTATTGCTGCAAATAAGTTGTCTCAAACATGTGTATTATATGACATAATAATATTACATCTTATAAGTTGTCTTCAGTAAATATAAACTTCATTTTCTGACACATTTTCCTGCTTGTTTTACTTGTTTATCAATTGGGGGACAATAAATAAAACCCCATCTAAGTATATCTTTCCCTTTTTGATGAGCTTAGTTAAGAGAAACTTCTCATCTACTAATTTTCCTATCTGTAACAATTCAAGAGATAGTACTTGGTTCATAGAGCTTTTTCACATAGGGTTGTATTATATTTAAACACAGCATTTATATAAATACTTGAGATAAAGTGTCTCAATCTTCATAATTCTATTTGAATTTTACTTCTCTATATATGTTGGGGAGAGAGTGGAAGTGGACAAAGATTGCCAACATTTTCCAAATGATACTTGAATTATATTTTCCTGCAATTTTAGCATGCTCATGTTTCAATGGCAGAAGTAATTGGTTTGCTAGGTGGAAGATATTCTGAAACTGATGGAATAGTTGAAGTAAGTATCATATTTATTTTCAATTTTAAAAGGGCTTCTACCAACTCATTGTGAATTATAGACATCATGCTAAATCACTATGGGGATGCTTACCTATGTGTCCTCTAAGGAAGTACAGAAAGAAGGAAGAAGTTCTGTTATTACTTCAAGGAATACAGTGGTACCTCGGGTTACAAACTTAATTCGTTCCATGACACTGGTTGCAGCCCGAATTGGTCGCAACCTGAAGCAAATTTCCCCATAAGGTTCAATGTAATTACCGTTAATCCGTTCTGGC